CCCAGCTCTTTTTTAACTTGCTTTGTTCATTTAACAGTATTATCATGGATAGGTCCATTTAGTGTCTTGTATGTGTTTTTTAATGACTTTAAAGTATTCTAGTATATGTATATACTATAGTTAATTTAACTAGCACTTTCTTTATGGATGGTTACGGTGTTCTCAGCCTACATTTGCATAAAATGTCCCAGCACCTATCCTTATATGTACCTTTTTTTTTTTTTTTTTTTTGTCATAGGGTATGTGTGCACTGGCTATAGAGAGCTGGAGAGAAGTAGAGAGGGAAAGTGGGAAAGCACCTCCTATGGGGACATAGTCCCCGTTTATCCCTCCTTTTGAGAATTTGAGCACACACACATACCTGTTTATTGTGCTTCTCAAGCCCCCAGTCTGGGACTGGGACCACATGGTTTGCCATGTAGAATGCAGACACCTTAACCACCAAACCATGAGCTGGGCCTCCTATCTATATTTCATATGAATAGAAACATACAATGTGTAGGTTTTTTGTGTCTCTTTTTGCTCAGTATTATCGTTTGAGATTCATCCAGGTAGTGTGTAACACTAGTTCTTTAAGTTTTTCAGTAGTATATCATTATATGAATATACCACAGTTTGTTATTCAGCTGATGGACATAGAGATTCTTTTCAGTTTTTGGATGTTACATATTAAGCTATTGTGAATGTTATGTACAAGTTTTTACCTTTATCAGAGGTGAATACCTAGGAAGAATGGCTGGCAGCATGTTTGATTTTTAAGAAACTGTCAAATGTTTCCAAAATAATTTTATCATTTACCAGTAGCAGTCTGAGAGTTCAAGTTGTTTTGAATCCTTGAAACAGTTGCTGTGGGGACCAGCAGATGGCATAATGGTTACAATGCTGGACTCCCATGTGGTCTACTGCAATTTGAGTCCTGGGCCCGGAGGCTTAAAACTCATGCCAAGTGTGTGTATGTGTGTGCCCAAGATCCCAAGAGGAAAATGGAGGAGAAGGGATTGCAGCGTGGCTATCCCCCATGGGTATTGATTTCTCACTTTCTGTCTCTCTATCTCTCTCTCTCTGTCTCTCTCTCCAGTGGGTGCATGTGCCCTATAGCAAAAATCTCACCAAAAAAAAAAAAAAAAAAAAAAAAAAAAAAAAAAAAAAAAAAAAAA